TATATGTCTACACAAGTACATAAACAGGCAGAATCAACGGAGAAAAGAGAAACAGAATGATACACGAGTGAACAGACACCCAGAGTGAGTCAGACAAACGGATACACTGACAAACAGACAGACAGACGAGCAAGCAGACAAGCAGACAGACAGGCAGACAGGCAGAAAGGAATACGGTCTCAGCGGAGCCATTTAAGGACTTTTAAACCAGATGACGACATAAGGATCAGGAAAAGGCATTGTCAACATTAGCCTCATAAACAGGACCTTTTCTTTTTTGAGAAGGAGAAAAGGTTGTTGCTCTTCAACCACATCAATTGCAAGAAGATCGTTGAGGCTGCAGTTCTCTTGCACATAATAAGGATAACTTTTTCCATCATCATATCATGAAATAGTTATAATTATAACCATATCATGATTTGGTGATCGGTAAGCCAGCGGAAGGCCTCGGTCAGATGACCAAAAGCTCCAGTAGCGGGTCATTATATGACTACGACCCTCACCAGGAAACACTTGTGCTGTTTCCTGACAAATCTTACCTAACTTAACCTCCATCATTAAACTCAGCACAGCCATAAGTTCAAAAGTTCATAACTACAAGACAGCACTTGCAGTCTCAACGTTCAGAAGTTCAAAGTCTTAAACATTAAAGTGGACTTGGAACGTACAGACCGTGGTCTCAGGCCTCACGGTTCAAGTTGGACTTGTGGTAACACTTTCACTCCCCCACACACTCAGTGTCCGTGGTTCAATCTCCGGCATGGGTAGAAACAATGAACGTATTTCCTTACACCTGCTGTCTCCATACACCTTAGCAAGCAAGTAGGTACCTGGGTGTTAGCTGACTGGTGTGGGTCGCATCCTGGGGGACAAGACTGAAAGACCCCATTGGAAATAAAACAGACAGTCCTCTACGACGCACCGACTTTCTTGGGTTATCCTGGATGGCTAACCCTCCGGGGTTAAAAATCCGAACAAAATCTTATCTTATCTTTTAGGGCTGCTGTAATTTAGCTCCTGGTTAAAAGTTGGCTTCTCTGCGCCTCGCGTGACCCCGTCCGTCTCCCGGCGACTTTTATTGTACTGACCACTTGTTACACGCCAAGAATTACTCCTTCCCGAGATACATGACCGAACCCGGGAAGTGGAGTCATAATCCCCAGGGACCAACACGAAATCATATTCCTATGTGATCTAAATGAACCTTAGCAGCGGGTTCATCATGCTCAGGAACTGACAACCCACAGGCTCTGGCACTATGTAATGTATATATATATATGTATATATATATATATATATATATATATATATATATATATATATATATATATATATATATATATATATATATATATATATGTATATATATATATATATATATATATATATATATATATATATATATGTATATATATATATATATATATATATATATATATATATATATATATATATATATATATATATATATATATATATATATATATATATATATATATATACATATTAAAACACTAATAAGGCTTTACCATCAATAAAACTCCAGGAAGAACTGACAGCCAATAAACAAAAACAAAAAATAAATCGTGGAGGAATGACATCCCAAGATGGAGGAGGAGAAGGAGGAGGACGAGAACGAGGAGGACGAGGAGGAGGAGGAGGACGAGGAGGAGGAGGAGGAGGACGAGAACGAGGAGGACGAGGAGGAGGAGGAGGACGAGGAGGAGGAGGACGAGGAGGAGGAGGACGAAAACGAGGACGAGGAGGAGGACGAGAACGAGGAGGACGAGGACGAGGGGGACGAAAACGAGGACGAGGAGGAGGACGAGAACGAGGAGGACGAGGACGAAGAGACGAGGACGAGGACGAAGACAGGACGAGGGAGGAGGAGGACGAGAGGAGGACGAGAAGGAGGAGGACGAGGAGAGGACGAGACGGAGGACGAGGAGGAGGAGGACGAGGAGGACGAGGACGACAAGGAGGAGGACGAGGAAGGAGGACGAGGAGAGGAGAACGAGGAGGGGGAGGACGAGAGGAGGAGGACGAGGAGGAGGAGGAGGACGAGGAGGAGGAGGACGAGGAGGAGGACGAGGAGGAGGAGGGCGAGGAGGAGGACGAAGACGAGGAGGAGGAGGACGAGGACGAGGAGGACGAGGAGAACGAGGACGAGGACGAGGACGAGGACGAGGACGAAAAGGAGGAAGAGGAGGAGTCAGCTGACAAAGACTCTGGTCAGTACACACTTTCCTGTTTCCTGACGAGCAGGACACCGCCACCTGTGTCACTGTCTCTAAAGTGTCTGGTGGTGTGACTTGGTGTGTTCTAGTGGTGTGACTTAGTGATGTGACCCTGTGGTGTGACCTGGTGTGTTCTAGTTCTGTGAACTAGTGGTGTGACTGGTGGTGTGGCCTTGTAGTGTGACCTGGTAGTGTGACCTGGTATGACCCAGTGGTGTGACCTAATTGTGACCTAGTGGTGTGACCTGGTGTGTTCTATTGGTGTGACCTGATGGTGTGGCCTGGTAGTGTGATCTAGTGGTGTGACCTAGTGAAGTGACCTGGTAGTGTGATCTAGTGGTATGACCTAGCGCAGTGTCCTGGTGGTGTGACCTAGTTATGACCTAGTGATGGGAACAGGTAGCGGCTCTGGGTTCAACTCTTCAGAATAACACAAGTAGGTAAAGTTATACTTATTTCCTCTGTTTAACGACACTAATGAGATTTGAAGATGATTCTCAGCTCTAAATTGTTTATGTACTCACCTAGTTGTACTCACCTAGTTGTACTCACCTAGTTGTACTCACCTAGTTGTACTCACCTAGTTGTACTCACCTAGTTGTACTCACCTAGTTGCACTCACCTAGTTGTACTCACCTAGTTGTACTCACCTAGTTGCACTTACCTAGTTGTACTCACCTAGTTGAGGTTGCGGGGGTCGAGTCCAAGCTCCTGGCCCCGCCTCTTCACTGGTCGTTACTAGGTCACTCTCCCTGAACCGTGAGCTTTATCATACCTCTGCTTAAAGCTATGTATGGATCCTGCCTCCACTACATCGCTTCCCAAACTATTCCACTTACTAACTACTCTGTGGCTGAAGAAATACTTCCTAACATCCCTGTGATTCATCTGTGTCTTCAACTTCCAACTGTGTCCCCTTGTTGCTGTGTCCCATCTCTGGAACATCCTGTCTCTGTTCACCTTGTCGATTCCTCTCAGTATTTTATATGTCGTTATTATATCCCCCCCTATCTCTCCTATCCTTCAGTGTCGTTTTGTCGATTTCCATTAACCTCTCCTCGTAGGACATGCCCCTTAGCTCCGGGACTAGTCTTGTTGCAACCTTTGCACTTTCTCCAATTTCCTTAAATGCTTGGCTAGGTGTGGGTTGCAAACTGGTGCTACATACTCCAATATGGGCCTAACGTACACAGTGTACAGGGTCCTGAATGACTCCTTATTTAGATGTCGAAATGCTATTTTTAGGTTGCTAGGTGCCTGTATGCTGCAGCAGTTATTTGGTTGACGTGCGCCTCATGAGATGTATACAGTGTTATACTCACCCCAAGATCCTTTTCCTGGAGTGAGGTTTGAAGTCTTTGGCCGCCTAGACTGTACTCCGCCTGCGGTCTTCTTTGCCCTTCCCCAATCTTCATAACTTTGCACTTGGTGGGATTGAACTCCTGGAGCCAGTTGCTGGACCAGGTCTGCAATCTGTCCAGTGTGTGTGTGTGTGTGTGTGTACTCACCTAGTTCACCTAGTTGTACTCACCTAGTTGAGGTTGCAGGGGTCGAGTCCAAGCTCCTGGCCCCGCCTCTTCACTGGTCGCTACTAGGTCACTATCCCTGAACCTGAACCATGAGCTTCATCGTACCTCTGCTTAAAGCTATGTATGGATCCTGCCTCCACTACATCGCTTCCCAAACTATTCCACTTCCTGACTACTCTGTGGCTGAAGAAATACTTCCTAACATCCCTGTGATTCATCTGTGTCTTCAGCTTCCAACTGTGTCCCCGTGTTACTGTGTCCAGTCTCTGGAACATCCTGTCTTTGTCCACCTTGTCAATTCCTCTCAGTATTTTGTAAGTCGTTATCATGTCCCCCATATCTCTCCTGTCCTCCAGTGTCGTCAGGTTGATTTCCCTTAACCTCTCCTCATAGGACATACCTCTTAACTCTGGGACTAGTCTTGTTGCAAACCTTTGCACTTTCTCTAGTTTCTTTACATGCTTGGCTAGGTGTGGGTTCCAAACTGGTGCCGCATACTCCAATATGGGCCTAACGTACACGGTGTACAGGGTCCTGAACGATTCCTTATTAAGATGTCGGAATGCTGTTTTGAGGTTTGCTAAGCGCCCATATGGTGCGGCTGTTATTTGGTTGATGTGTGCTTCAGGAGATGTGCCTGGTGTTATACTCACCCCAAGATCTTTTTCTTTGAGTGATGTTTGTAGTTTCTGGCCCCCCTAGACTGTACTCCGTCTGCGGTCTTCTTTGCCCTTCTCCAATCCTCATGACTTTGCACTTGGTGGGATTGAACTCCAGGAGCCAGTTGCTAGACCAGGTCTGCAGCCTGTCCAGATCCCTTTGTATTTCTGCCTGGTCTTCGATCGAATGAACTCTTCTCATCAACTTCACGTCATCTGCAAACAGGGACACCTCGGAGTTTATTCCTTCTGTCATGTCGTTCACAAATACCAGAAACAGCACTGGTCGTGTGTGTGTGTGTGTGTGTGTGTGTGTTTGCAAATAAATACACGAGATTAACTTTATTGTTATATTCGTGTACAAGTGAGTAACCAGGAAAAATCGGATGGACTATGTTAAGTTGAGTTACCACGTGTCGACACAGCATCCCTCAATACAAGAAGTAGAGAAGACCCATGTTGATCTTACTTACCACATATACTGGGCCTGACACTGCACCTGTTAACACGGTCGGTGGTCTAAGTACAAGTGTGTGACCAAGAAACACTGGATGACCTGTGTTGGCCTGACTTACCACGTGTTGTTAGTCTGGTGTCGAGAGGGTGGTGGCGGACCCTTGCTTCCACGTGCTTGGTCCTCCTCTCTTACTTCTCTCTTCCTCGCCACGAATATCAAGAATACTTTCACTTCCTCTTCCCTTTTTTTCTCTTTCTTTCGTCACTTCATTCGCCAGTTATCATTTTCATTTCTGTGAGCACACCGTGAAGCCTTGCCACAAAATTGACACCGAGTGCTTCCTTCCCTCTAAAAATATACAATCACAGTATGAGTGAGTTCACTCTCCGAGCAGAGGTTTTCAAGAAAGGTGTACAGAGAGTGGCAATTTTACGGTTTAGGTGGGCTTAAGAGGAGAGAGAAGAAAGAGAGAGAGAGAGAGAGAGAGAGAGAGAGGGAGAGAGAGAGAGGTGGGGTGTCGCGTTCAGTAGCACCGTCTGCCCCGCCCCCACAAGGTCTTGCTCACACAACCCCAGCTTCCAATCACTCATTAGCTCAAAAACTGAATGAACGCCATGTCGTTCATGTCATTTACTACCACCTGCTGTGTTTTTGCTGTCACTCTCTTTATTATCCGAGACCAGTACCCGCTTCAGTGCTCATTGACACCCCGAGGACATCAGCGGTCCTCTCACATAGGCTCGTTGACCCCTAGTGTAAGGTGATAGGTTAATGACTTGTGCAACTGACCAAAGACGGTAAGAACCCGTCAGGAGCGGGTGTCAGACTGGTAGATCCACCCCCACGCCCAGCAAAGTGTCCACTGAGGGTGGTGTTCACCGTCAGGAGCTGGGCCGCCACCATCACCGCCACCTCTGTCTCCCGCACTGCTGCTGCTGCTGCGTCGCCCTCCCACCGTATTTACCCGAACAGATATTGATCCCTCTGGCCTGTGAACGCTTCCTCTCGCCACCGAACACTCTCTCACGGAAAGCTACGTCTCTCCATTTTCAACAACGTCTACTTGTTGGATTTCGTTGCATTGCGAGCCGTGTCGGAATGCTTCGGCCGGGGCGCTCTTTGCGTCTCGTAGCGATAGTAATCGTTGGTAAAATACGCACGGAGCCTCATCAGTGAACCATTTAAGCAAGGCCTTTATCGTACTAGGGGAATACAGTGAAGGGGGCACTAATGTACCTTGTAATAAGAGGAGGGGAAGGTATTCATAGGAAAAATACGGGTGGGTTATAAACCTGTGTGGACGGCGTTCTTCACTACCCGTATTAAGGCAAGGAAATCCATTAGGCTCTTCTTGCATACTGAATAATGGAATACTTTGTGAAATGGAATTTTTCACTGATGCCATTCTGCTTTATCAACGCGGTTTTTCCGGAAGTTTTCAAATCATCCCCAAAAGATGGAATAAAAAGAATTGCATCTTCATTACCAAACTAATACTCTAAACTGCAAATATTCAGCAGACCAAAGAGAAGCGTGCAGCACCCTAGGAGGTGGGACCTAGGTGCTGTGTGGTATCAGGAAGCCACACTAGGTCTCAAGACATCAATGACATGTTCCCATCATCACATCTCATTGATGCCAATAAAGTTTTGGTCTCAGTTGTTTTCACTCTACGATGGACCTCCTCCACCAACAGTCACTTCACTCATAACTGTCTCCTCGTCGTGAAACATTTACAATGAACTATCACTAGAAAGATAAAACTTTCCTCGTAATGTTTTAAGTAAGAATTACATAATTCTTGATGTGTTCCCACGGCAGAAGGATTGTGTCTGCCACCAAGAGGGAAGAAAAAAAAAGGGGAGATTTCTCCACTTTTTAAAAATTAAAATATTAAATTCATTGACCAGGTTAATATATACACACACACACCACACACACACACACACACACAATATATATATATATATATATATATATATATATATATATATATATATATATATATATATATATATATATATATATATATACATATAAATATATATATATATATATATATATATATATATATATATATATATATATATATATATATGTATATATATATATATGTACAATATATATATATATATATATATATATATATATATATATATATATATATATATATATATATATATATATATATATATATTTATATATATATAAATGTCGTGCCGAATAAGTAAAACTGGTCAATTAGCAAGAACTCATTTAAAATTAAGCCCTTTCTAAAATTTTCTCTTATACGTTTAAAGATATATTTTTTTCATTAGTGTTGATGTAAAAATTTATAATTTTGCACCAAAAGAATCTTAGAAAACTTACCTAACCTTATTATGAAAAGAACAATTTATTTTAGCCTAACCCAACTAAATATATTTTAGATTTGTTTACAATAATTTAATACTAAACAAACACAGTGAAATATATTTGTTTCGTTGGGTTCAGAATGATTTTGGCGAAATTATTGCATACACAAATTTTCACTTGTCGTATATGGCAAGATGAACGTTGCTATTTAAGCCAAGATGGCAAGTTCTGCCTATTCGGCACGACATATATATATATATATATATATATATATATATATATATATATATATATATATATATATATATATATATATATATATATATATATATATATATATATATACATATATATATATATATATATATATATATATATATATATATATATATATATATATTATACATATATATGATTGGTGGAATGATGAAGTAAAGGTTGTGATAAAAGAGAAAAAGTTAGCTCATGAGAGGTTTTTACAAAGCAGAAGTGTTATAAGAAGAGTAGAGTATATGGAGAGTAAAAGAAAGGTGAAGAGAGTGGTGAGAGAGTGCAAAAGGAGAGCAGATGAAAGAGTGAGAGAGGCACTGTCAAGAAATTTTAATGAAAATAAGAAAAAATTTTGGAGTGAGTTAAACAAGTTAAGAAAGTCTAGGGAAAGTATGGATTTGTCAGTTAAAAACAGAGTAGGGGAGTTAGTAGATGGGGAGAGGGAGGTATTAGGTAGATGGCGAGAATATTTTGAGGAACTTTTAAATGTTGAGGAAGAAAGGGAGGCGGTAATTTCATGCACTGGCCAGGGAGGTATACCATCTTTTAGGAGTGAAGAAGAGCAGAATGTAAGTGTGGTGGAGGTACGTGAGGCATTACGTAGAATGAAAGGGGGTAAAGCAGCTGGAACTGATGGGATCATGACAGAAATGTTAAAAGCAGGGGGGGATATAGTGTTGGAGTGGTTGGTACTTTTGTTTAATAAATGTATGAAAGAGGGGAAGGTACCTAGGGATTGGCGGAGAGCATGTATAGTCCCTTTATATAAAGGGAAGGGGGACAAAAGAGATTGTAAAAATTATAGAGGAATAAGTTTACTGAGTATACCAGGAAAAGTGTACGGTAGGGTTATTATTGAAAGAATTAGAGGTAAGACAGAATGTAGGATTGCGGATGAGCAAGGAGGTTTCAGAGTGGGTAGGGGATGTGTAGATCAAGTGTTTACATTGAAGCATATATGTGAACTGTATTTAGATAATGGTAGGGAAGATTTTATTGCATTTATGGATTTAGAAAAGGCATATGATAGAGTGGATAGGGGAGCAATGTGGCAGATGTTGCAAGTATATGGAATAGGTGGTAAGTTACTAAATGCTGTAAAGAGTTTTTATGAGGATAGTGAGGCTCAGGTTAGGGTGTGTAGAAGAGAGGGAGACTACTTCCCGGTAAAAGTAGGTCTTAGACAGGGATGTGTAATGTCACCATGGTTGTTTAATATATTTATAGATGGGGTTGTAAAAGAAGTAAATGCTAGGGTGTTCGGGAAAGGGGTGGGATTAAATTATGGGGAATCAAATACAAAATGGGAATTGACACAATTACTTTTTGCTGATGATACTGTGCTTATGGGAGATTCTAAAGAAAAATTGCAAAGGTTAGTGGATGAGTTTGGGAATGTGTGTAAAGGTAGAAAGTTGAAAGTGAACATAGAAAAGAGTAAGGTGATGAGGGTATCAAATGATTTAGATAAAGAAAAATTGGATAACAAATTGGGGAGGAGGAGTATGGAAGAAGTGAATGTTTTCAGATACTTGGGAGTTGACGTGTCGGCGGATGGATTTATGAAGGATGAGGTTAATCATAGAATTGATGAGGGAAAAAAGGCGAGTGGTGCATTGAGGTATATGTGGAGTCAAAAAACGTTATCTATGGAGGTAAAGAAGGGAATGTATGAAAGTATAGTAGTACCAACACTCTCATATGGGTGTGAAGCTTGGGTGGTAAATGCAGCAGCGAGGAGACGGTTGGAGGCAGTAGAGATGTCCTGTCTAAGGGCAATGTGCGGAGTAAATATTATGCAGAAAATTCGGAGTGTGGAAATTAGAAGAAGGTGTGGAGTTAATAAAAGTATTAGTCAGTGGGCTGAAGAGGTGGTTTGGTCATTTAGAGAGAATGGATCAAAGTAGAATGACATGGAGAACATTTAAATCTGTAGGAGAAGGAAGGCGGGGTAGGGGTCATCCTCGAAAAGGTTGGAAGGAAGGGGTAAGGGAGGTTTTATGGCGAGGGGCTTGGACTTCCAGCAGGCGTGCATGAGCGTGTTCGATAGGAGTGAATGGAGACGAATGGTATTTGGGACCTGACGATCTGTTGGAGTGTGAGCAGGGTAATATTTAGTGAAGGGATTCAGGGAAACCGGTTATTTTTATATAGCCGGACTTGAGTCCTGGAAATGGGAAGTACAATGCCTGCACTCTAAAGGAGGGATTTCGGGATATTAGCAGTTTGGAGGGATATGTTGTGTATCTTTATACGTATATGCCTCCAAACTGTTGTGTTCTGAGCATCTCTGCAAAAACAGTGATTATGTGTGAGTGAGGTGAAAGTGTTGAATGATGATGAAAGTATTTTCTTTCTTTTTTGGGTCACCCTGCCTCGGAGGGAGACTGCCGACTTGTTAATATATATGTGTATGTATGTATATATATATATATTATATATATATATATATATATATATATATATATATATATATAATATATATATATATATACAAGGAATTCGCAAGAGCAGGCGAAATATACACAAACACTGATCTCTGGCAGAAGGAGACTCGAACCTACGAGCCTTGGAGTGAGGTATGCAGTGCTATACCATTCTCACCACACTGGACCAATACCTTGGTGCCTAGCTCACGCTAGACGTTGATCCAAGGCAGCCAGCTTTCAGGAGAAGCTACAGCTTTTCATCTCATCCCCTGCATGTATCGACCATCTAGAGATTTTAACAATGCAAGGAATTCGCAAGAGCAGGCGAGTCTCCTTCGGCCAGAGATCAGTGTTTATATATATATATATAATATATATATATATATATATATATATATATATATATATATATATATATATATATATATATATATATATATATCCCTTGTAGGTTTAGCGCTTCGTTTTGATTATAACAATAATAATTAGACCAGAAACACTACTTACAGTCCATGTTCCACTTCAGTCAAGTGGCAGACTCTTGCACTCCCCCCTACCACCCAATTCCCCCCAAGCTGACTTACACACGTGAGGGCTGTTATCCGAGCTCATGCACACCTCAAGAGAGGCTTCCGGATGCTGGTAAGGTGCTCTTGGTCCAAGGAATTGATCTTATCATCCCCCTGCCTTGGATTGAACCTTATTGATTCCCCTTCCCTCCCCAGGTGCTCTTTAGCATTTCCTTTTAAAATAATGATAATGATAATAATTAATAATAATAATAATAATAATAATAATAATAATAATAATAATAATAATAATAATAATAATAATAATAATAAGCTTCTCAACAGGACTCGTCCATACTCACGTCTATTATTGTATTAAAATTACATTAGTTGAAGCACCCCAGTGATGGAGCACCCCAGTGATCGAGCACCCCAGTGATGGAGCACCCCAGTGATGGAGCACCCCAGTGATGGAGCACCCCAGTGATGGAGCACCCCAGTGATGGAGCACCCCAGTGATGGAGCACCCCAGTGATGGAGCACCCCAGTGATGGAGCACCCCAGTGATGGAGCACCCCAGTGATGGAGCACCCCAGTGATGGAGCACCCCAGTGATGGAGCAC